ATCACAACTTTCACGAAGATACCTCTTTACTGACCCCAGAAGTACTCAACAAAATTGAGTTCACAGTGAAACTTTGGAACGAAGATGCAGAGAATGCATAATCTAGCCTGTCACAGGCTGAAAACCTTGCGAAAACGTTGAAATCGCGTTCCAAAATCCGTGTTTGATGGTCAAAAATCAGCAAAAAAAAATTGATTAAAAATTGAATTTTTTCCCCGGCCGATTTGGCCGTTGTTCCAAAGTAGCGGCCTCTACGTGACCTGCACCATAGCTCTTCAGGGAAACGAAAAGATGACTCAACAACATTGTCCGTATCCAAATTTCGTCGCTGACGCGTTCAAATCTGACGCTAACGACCCATTGACGACCGGCGTCCTGGTCTCATATCGCCGCGTGCGTGGAGTTCGGCGCTACAGCAACCAGCCAAAGGGAGATGTGCAAGATTAAATGGAAATCGGAGAAGCATTTGCGAACAGACAATACCCGACCAGACAACGACGAGGCAAGTGATGCGGCGGCGTGAAGGGGAATGGTGAGAGTTGGTGGTTGGTACGTTCCTGTCCCACTCACGTCATGGTGCACTCGAAAACGCGCTGAAAAGCCTAGAAACATATCCCACAATCGAATCGGGCGCTGTGTCAGTCATCCCGCCCCAGTTTGGCTGTGCAATAATAGTATACACGCGGCCTATTAGGCACCGGCTCGACAACAATGCCGAGCCGCTTCAGAACCAATGCTATCCGAGCGTGTTTCCTGATAAAAGGCGGAGGAATGGCAAGAACTCGAGGTCAACCCATTAAGGGTCTGTTGGATATGATGGTTGAGCGGCAATGATATCAATTCCGATGGAAGTGGTTAAACTGTAGCATTGACAGAATCAGCGACTGGACCAGGGTGAAGCAAATACGACATACCTTAGGAATCACTTTGAAGGTTCCGAAGAGAAAGGCACTCCCGCAGTATGAACCAGGAACCCAATACCAACTAACAGAACAAATTGGGGATACAACACCGCCCATCGAGCA